GGAGACACACAAACCTGCTTTATTGGGCAAACTGTAAATCAGCCTGTTTGGTAAGAACATGCAAAATGTGTGTGTGCTGAGAGAGGGTATTTTGAGAATTTAACTAATTTCTGAATAGTAAAGGCATCCAGTCTGGCTATAATTGGTGCCTGTGGCAATTGTTGGTACCCTGACTACATTAGCTTTCTGTGCCCTTTAGCAGAATTGGAAAAACATTTCTAGTACTCGTTAAGCTGTCTATTATCAAGCCTTCATAAATATACACATTTAGAATAGAGATGATTTGCTATCCCAGTGCCTTAGAGCGCTTAAATAAATTAGTTCCTACTATTTCAGGCATTAATTTTGCAGTAATTATGCATGAAGCAATAATGCAATTAAAATTGCCTTCCAACTTGCTCAAGTGGGAATACTTTCTGAAAATAATACTTGATCTTTTCTCAAAATACACTCTAGAGCAGGTGGATGTGCTGTGTAGCTCCAAACAGCAGTGTGGGACTGTTCTACCTTGAGAGCCTCAGTTTGCCTGCAGCTGAAGTCAATATTAACCAAGTATTACCTTCTGTTGGCTTTTGCTGACCTCTGGTTTATTCCCTTCTCCTCTTTCTCTAGTGGCAAAGTGCCCACATAACAGCTGGCATAGAGTTCTTCAGCAGTGGAGTTTCTTATTTAAAGAATGCAACCCCACTTCAAGGCAGGAAACATGGGCTAGCTTTCAGTTTGCAATGTTGCAGTTTCCTTTTGCACAGTACCTACTAGTTTCACATCTTTGCAATATTTGTTATAATAAAGCACGACAATGTATCAGCCCAGATTGCAGCCTTAGGTCTGAATCTCTTTACCTTTAAATTGGACCTCTTGTTTCTTGGGAGAAAGGTATATATTTTGTAGCTGAGTTACAAATAAGCTTTTCCAGCTTTTTGGCAGCTAGGTAATAGTTAAAGTGAAAAGATTTCTTTTTTCCAGCCAGAAAAGAGGTTTAATAACTGTGAGTCCATTTGTTCATAGCAGTGCTGGAGCTGAGCCCTACAAACCCCTGGAGCTTGGCAGGCCAGGCAGACTTGGCAAGTTTTCCTACCAGCTTACTGAGTCTGAGTCAAGCATGGCTTGTTGCAACTTCAAATATATTTAGTACATTTTGTTAACATGAACATTAAGGTGGAGAGTTTGGGTTTGTTTTTTTCATTTGTTTACCTTCAGGTGCATTGTGTTCTCTCTACAAGCAGCTGGTCCTTAAACCATGCATAGCAGTTTATGGCTTGTGTTAAATTCAGAATAAATGTGTGTTTTATTTAGAGTATCTGATTTACTCTTGACATGAAGATATTGAGGAAGTATGAGAAAGTATCCCACAGTCTTTCTGTCAGTCAGCTTTTGGTAGTGTGAATCTGTGAATAAAACAAGCAGAGCTGTTACTTCCCAGTGCATTGTGACAGTGATAACTTTTCCCCTCTGTTTGAAGCCTGTGGTGCATGAAGACTTGTAAGTGTTGGAAATACTCTCACCTCTAATTTTTACCTGTGTGGATACTGCTGAAAGAAAAAGAGTTTAACTTGGACTTTTGGATTGGCCAGACACTGAACTTTGTAAATGTTAGTTTTTGCCTATCCAAATTATATCAGCCTTTGAAATGGGGGGAAAATTTTTCTGTAGAAAAAAAAATGTTGTAAGATGCTGCAGAGGACTCAAGAGTATTTAGTGCAGTCAGACATCTCAATTTTCTCCTAAATTGACTCATTCATCTCAGTGTGGTGTTAGCACATTGGGTCTTTAGTGGATTCTGCACCATGCAGTTCTGGCACATCCTGAGTAGAAGGAATTGGTCTATTGAGTGGGTGTTTCTCACTTGTGATTTGACAGCATGCCTGCTGCTTTGTAAGGCATCCTGACAGCTCTGCTCTTCCCAATTTTTATGTGATTCTCTTATCATTATTGCTAATGTTTTTGTTGGGAAATGTGAATCTAAGAATCCAAGATGTTAGATTTGCCTGGTTTAGGGCTTTTCTTCTAGCCATGGCCTAGCTACAGATGTTCTGGCTGCTTTGTTTTTACCCTCTTGATGGATAATCAGCTATGTCTGTTGCTGGAGGACTGGTTGTGGGAAGCTATAGTTTCAGAAAGCAGTTGTTTCCTAAGCAGCACGAGCCAATGTTATAAGAGGCCTCATCATTTGCTACCAAACCTTTGAAGTTTGCTTTGCCCAGTGGGATCTAGAAAACTGAGCAGAGCACAGTCAGGTTGCCAACTAAGCCAGACAGGCTTCTGATTTGTGAGCTATTTATTGTTTCTAGAATTGCTGCCCTCATTCATTGTTGCAATTAATTGCAACAAGCCTGGAGATGATAAATGCCTAGATCATTATTGCTAAATATCTGGGAGCATGCTATTTTAGAGCTCAGATTCTTCCTAGAATAAACCCTCAAGTTCCTAACTTGAACACCCCAAATAAATTGTGGTTTCTTTTTGGGACCTCAGGCTTTGTACCAAAGAGGTTTCATATGTTTCTTTTGAAGAGCTGATGTGTAGAAGTTGCTGGAACACTGCAAGGGATGAGAGTGTGACTGGCCAGTGTGCTGCTTTGGGCCATTAACTGTGTCCTTAGAGTGAGGTTTAGAGAGTATTCCTTCAAGGTAGCAATGCAATAGCTAGAGCTCATTATAAAAAGTTGGGATGTAGAGTGTGTCTTCTGTCCTTCTTCTGGACAGAGCTGGTGAGGTGAGTCCTTAAAGGCTCTTTTAATTGAATGCATATTTGGCAATGGGAAAGAACGAAGCACTTTTTTTTAGCAAACCCAAGAAATATTTTGCAGTTTATACTAGGCTGGTGCATTTCAGCTAAGTGACAGAGGAATGAAGCTGTTGGCCCTTAAGAAAATTTAGGGCACTTTGTAAACTACAAGCTGCGAGAGAGGCAGCAGGTATTGACAAGTGCAAGCTTCAGAGTAATATAGTGAGAAATAAATAGAATCTTGCTACTTGAAAGAGCAGCTGACAGTTTAAAAAATTGCAGGAAGTAATTTTAAACAGATTACCAACTGTGCAAAGCATAGCTATAAACAGATGAGTTGGAATCAGTGTCATTGTTTCTTACTTGAACAATGAGAGTTCATTAGAACCGATGATTAATATCAAACAAGAATGGTGATATAATAGCTGTAAGAATTGAGAAATAAGAGCTCAGCTAACCTGGTCTCTGGTTTTGAACAGTGGTAGTTCTCTGGCAGACTCATCTGGTCTCCAGCATTCCTTCGGTGATTTTTTTTTTCTCATTGCCTTTTGCATCTACAGCATCATCTGGGAGACGTTTCCATAGGCCAGCCATATATTGTGTGAAAAAGTTTCCCTTTCTGCTTTTGTGTAGCATGTGAATTTCATGTCTTGCAGCAGTGCCTATTTGAACAGCTATGTGTTATTCTTTCCAACCTTGTAAATACTTTAATATTGCATGAAGTTGCCTCTGTCCCATGTTAGAGTCATGGTCTGTTTAGATATTGCATCCATGAAAACAGTGATAGGTCTTGATGCAGTCTCATTTTCTACTTGTTTTTTTGGGGGGGGGGGGTTTCCCCCTGATTATTCTGTATTCATTTTGGGTGGGAGCAGGGAGAGATCAGATGATGTACAGCTAACTGCTTGTTATCTGAGATATTCTGCTAGGCCACTAATACTGCGCAAGTGAGCCAGAGAATAAATTATGCTGGTAGGAGAGTGCTGCCCAATGAGTGACAGAATGGTGACAGAACAGATACCTGGCACTAAGAGCCACCGGCTCTCAGGGAGCAGGAAGGGAATGGGCATGGTTAGCACTTGGCTGATCTGCAATACATAGTGCATCCAGTGCCACATGGACTTGTGAAGTAAATGCAACACAAAATATGTTGAAACAGGGTGGTTAGAGGGAGTGTTCTCACACACAATATTGAAATAATTTCGAACAAAGTAATATGGTGTACTGTAGATTTTGAAAGGGACTGTTGCCAGAAATTCTCAGAAATCTTTTGTTATCTAATAAGTGTAATGATTTCACATACAGACTGTTTCAGGATGCCCTTAAACTGCTATTGTTCTTTCAGTTTCCAGTTTACTTGGAAAATGATAATTCTTCCCCTTCTTTATGTTGTTTCCCTAAGCTTCTTTCAATGTCCACTAAGAAACTTTGTTCCAACCCAGTACAGCAGTTTGTGCTTCAGAAAGGTGCTTAAGCAAGATCAATAGGCTTAAAGAAGCTGCATCCATGGAAATGCTGAGAAGAGTTTACCTTTGCACTGAAGCTTAAAGCTGTTTCCTAGGATTGTGTCATTACAGAATCCCCTCAGTTGGAAAACCACTTGAAGTCCATCTAGCCCAATCTTCTGTTTAAAGCAGGGTGAACATTAAATGCAAACTAGGTTGCTCAGGGCTTGCCCAGTTGCATTTGTAAACTTGTTAAAGAGTGAAGGCTCTGCAGCCTGTTTTGCAACCTCTTCCAATTTTAATTATTAAATAGATAGTTTAATAAATAATAATGTTTGCATAATTAAAACAATAAAATTACAATATAATCACGATCGTGTAATGGACAAGTAGATATCATTGTAATTCTGGGACTGTAAAAATCAACATAAGTTAAGCAGAACATCCATCAAAGCAGTTATCTTGAAAATTCTGGTCTTTAGCAAACATGATGGAAATGAGGCTGGCTTCTGGCTGCAAGCATATTAATTTGCCAGTGATAAGGATTTTGTAATAGTTTGATGCCATCTATTTTTTAGAGCAATGATGTAAATACAACTAATTGCTCCATAGCCTGAGTGTTTTATTTTAAACAAGGAGTACTTGGCCAGTATTTAAAATGTAAGACTTGAATGTAAATGCCTGTCACTGCTGATAATTATTTTTAGAGTATGACAAGCATCTATCTCCATATGATGGTCTGTATTCCACATCCTTCTCCTCTACTGTGAATGGAAGGATGGACTGCAGGAGTAATCTAAAGCTTTTTGTAACTTGTCTCTTTTCCAGCTTTGGTTTGCTTTCGTTAATGGATTTTCCGGGCAGATCTTATTTGAGCGATGGTGCATCGGTCTGTATAACGTGGTAAGTGCTGCATGTTTTGACTTGATAGTGCTTGGGACTACTGTGTTATTTTGTTGTGTCCCATTTTTCACTGGTAACTGTCCTAATTGTATGTCAGGAAAGGTGAGTTCATTTGTAAAAGCCACTTGGAATCCACTCTGAGATAGGGAAAATAAAATTTAAAAATTTCACTTTTATTGCAAAATGAGAATTTGGGAGAACACCTTGAAAATAGATGTTTAACCTAATATAACCTGCATAAAGATCTGCAGATTTTAGATAGAATTTAATTTTCTCTTTGAAAGCATTTTCAGTGTTTTGTACTGAATATTTTCTTGACAGATCATGCTCAAAATACTCCTAATCTCTGAGTTTTGATGATTTTTTTTCCCTTCAGACCCTGGAGAGTTAGATGCTGAGAGGAGTTACTTCGGGTTGACTTGTGCTCCCTTAGGTACAGGAAGAGAAGCTGCATCACTGTGTCATTAGCAGTCTGGGAGTGGTTTCTGATTTTCAACATGGCCTGTGGGGTGCCACCCTGTGTCATATGACTTTATTACTTAAATCAGTAATATTATTTAACCAGTCACGTGGATGAAAGTCTGAAGGATCTCTGGAACCAAGTTCTGTAGTATACCATAGAGCTGTGTTGGTGTTTTTGAGAGTGCTACCTTTGCAATGTTACGAGTGGCCCAGTGCCTGGATTTATAAACTGCTAGGACACTGGTATTAAAAAAAGTCTCTTCACAGGGAGAGAATTTAAATTTTTCGTTAAAAAAGCTAATTCCAAATATATGCTAATACAGAAAAAGCCAGCAAATTATCACTGAATAGTATTAATGGAACCACTTAACTTCTGTCACATTAATTTTGAAAATGATGGCACAAGCCCCCATATTCCATGAGATTTCATGCTCTTAGTTGAAGATACTTATTCAAGGATTTATCATTCCCTTGATTCCCTTCACCCTAATTTCCTGACTGTTGTGCAGTCACTGTCATTCATGTTTAGATATTTGCATCTATTATCTTTAAACCTCATTTGATGAATCTATCTACCCTACCTAAAGCTTCTGGATAAAACTCATCTTCTGTAATCAGAAACTAAACCTTGTTTTTTGAGGTCAGTATTTTCTAAAATTAGAACTGGTTGTGTGGACTCATGGAGAATAAAGTGCTTGCTTGTAAGATATTGGGGACTTACACAATTTGTCGCTCTGAGATTTTGAAGTGCTTTTAACTAAGTCATTCCTTCTTTGCAGATTAACCCTTTCTTTCATTAGTAGTCTCATTAAAATATGAAGTGTATGAAATCATAATGGCTTTGTAATTCCTGATTTTGTACTAGTTCACACTGGAAGTTTGCCTTGGTGATGAAAACCACTGGAAGATTTACTTCAAGTGAGAATGTAAATGTCCCAATAAACACAGGAAGCCAGGGGAAGTACGTTAAAGCTGTATAACAGCATGGTCTTCTTTGGAATATATTGGACCAGTGTTCTCAGTTTCAGTTCTCTACTCTCAGCCTGCTGCCATTTTAGCCATCTGGTTTATCACTTCAGGGGTGAAGACACACAATTCCCACTGGATGAAGGGCTATAATTATTGATTCTCACTCGTCTCTGTTCTTCCTCATTGTTCTTTGTCTGCTCCCCTGCTGCCAACGTGCTGCTGGTGGGAATCACAGCCCACCTTCTCCAAGTATGCACACACCCTAGACACAGTTCATAACTCCTACCTGCTTCTTAACTTCAAGAACACTTCTCAAACTGGTAAAAATCAATGTATGTATAGGATTTAAAGTGATGTTTCTGATATAAACTTTTGATGCAAAAGGGAGTGAATGAAGTTTAGTGTTTTGACTTGCACCCTGGACTGGTGTAACTTTCCCTCTGTGCCTGCACTGTGGACCACAAGAAGCATGGATATCCAAGCTGGCTTTAAATGAGCTGCCTCAGATCCTGGAAACGCTTCAAGAGCAGCAATGTTCAAGTCAGTGGAGGCTAATTTACTCTGCTTCTGGCAGAGTGTCCTGCTGCCTGTCTTGGAATGCTTCCGAGGCTTGGTCATCCAAGCGTCTGCCCGTAGCACAGACACACACTGCAGTTAATTTGTTCCTATCAGTTCGTGCCTGCCAGGGGAATCCCCAAAGTACCATAATGCAGAATGGCCTTTGTTGCTCAGTAGATTTTTTTCTTTTAAATGTGATTTCCACATTTACTCTGTCTGTAAACTTAGCAGTGGTTAAGCACATTGCATATCTAATTATGGCTACAACTGCAGTTATATTGGAACCTATTCCCACAAGGCTATTTTATAAAAATTCATACTGTCTTTCCATTGCAGTCCGATGTGTCTGACCCTTGCTGCATTAGCTGGTACATCAGAAACTTAACTTCTTGGGTTTAATTTATTGGTTAATAGTACTAATTTTTTTTCATGTTTCTATTGTTCACAAGTCAGTATTTGAGAATTACAAATTAATGTTTGGACTTGTTTGGATCATTGAAAATGATGCCAAATAACATGCTCAGTTGTAGAAAGTCTTCACTGAAGTCTGTGAGAATTTTGCTTTTGTCTAGATAAGGAAACATTATATGAGATACCCTTAAAACTAGGAGCTGCTTTCAGTTAGTATTTGCTTTCCTTGCAGATTTTCACAGCACTGCCACCCTTTACTCTGGGAATTTTTGAACGGTCGTGTACTCAAGATAGCATGCTTAGATTTCCACAGCTATACAAAATCACTCAAAATGCAGATGGTTTCAACACAAGGGTAAGGAAAACTGTTACTCTAAGAAAATACATAAACATTCTGATACTCCAGATTTTTCATGTCAGAAAATAACCTATTTCCTGATGTTACTTCTGCTTTATGCTAACCACTGAGAGTGATTGTTCAGCCTTCCACTTCTTTCCAAGGGATTATTTTTTATTTAAATAAACAACATCCTTGTTTATAAATAAGGATTTTCTGCTGTGACTTCACCTGAAACTACTCCTGAAATATCCATAAACTTTGATTCAATGTTAGATTCCTATCCAAGCATGATTTTTCAATTCACAGCTAGTGATAAGCCACGATGACATTGCCTGGATTTATTTAACATATGTCTTGTCACAGCACTCTTTGCTAGAATGCTTTTTTCATAGTTAGCATAGCTCTGTTCCAGTAGTTCTTTTGGAAAATAGAATTTGAATTGGCTTATTTGGACTTCTGAGTTTTGAAGAACACATTTTACTTCATTTTGCTGTTTAAATGCTGGAAAATGCCAGTGTTTGGTATTCTGTCTTTTCCATAATGAGCACATCTAAATGTACTTCTGAATCAAGGAAGCTGTAGGATTGCTTTGTTTGGAGAGGAAGTTGTAGAGTACATAAAGCTTTATTTGTGCAAAATTATATTATGTGCTAGTAAAAACTGTGGGGCACAAAGTATTTATCCATTTAAAGAAGATGGAATATTTCATAATACTGAATCACTCTTTTAAAATTATTCTTTGAGGTAATTAAACAAAGTTGACTCAAGCTGTCTGCCTTATTTCAATAAAGATCTTAAGCTGAAGCAGGCTTGCCTATTATGCTTCAAGTTGGTAGAATAAAATGATCGAATTGGACCAGTGTTTTCTTGTGAAAGAGCAGAAATTGTAGGAGAAAATAGATCCTGCAGAAGTTTGAGTATTTCACTTCAGGACAAACATTTTTTGACTCTAAACTACACAATGAAGTGTTTGTTAGGAGTTAGAGGGAGGTCAAGAGTTTTGGACTTTACTGATGGCTTGGTTTGTTTTCCCTCAGGTTTTCTGGGGTCACTGCATCAATGCCCTCATCCATTCCATCATTCTTTTCTGGTTTCCACTGAAAGTGCTGGAGCATGGTAAGGGCTTCATTATTTCTTATGTGAGTAACTGATGTTCAGTCTTACAGAACCAGTGTGTTTGCAGAAGGGGGGTCGTGACAAGTCCCAAGAAATAATGCTGCCAGACAGTTCAATAGTCTTTAGCTGCTGAGCTTGGCAGGTTGTCTAGTGGCTTTCAGAAATTATTCTAATCTAACATAATTATTGTTCATATAGTGACTTTAATAGGTGAAAAATGAAACTACTGCTTTGCTAAGAAGTCTTACCCAAATACTGAGTGATGTTTTATGAAATGCCTTTTCTTTTTTTTTACGGTAGTGTGTTGAGATCTCAGCATTCGATTGAATAATGTTCTTACAGCAGCTGCCTTAGAACCATTTGCTTTATATATTGTTGGAACTCCCCCATTCCATAAAGCAGTACTGTGAAAAAGAACTGGCTGGAATGGAAGTAAACCAGATCAAGAGTCAGAGATACTGGGGAAATAAGACTCTTTGGTGTACAAATTAGGGTTATTATTAAGTCTTGCTTTTCAGGGTAATGCAACTTTTCAGGGTAATGCTGCTACATGGTATTTCAGGGACCAGTAAGTCCCATGTGGTTACTACCTAGCTTTCCAGTATAGCTGTGTGGGTGGGAAAAACCGCTGGAAATCTGTTCTTTGATTGTGGTAAGAAATAGCATTAGATGAAATGAGGAATTTGGGGCTGGTGACGAGAATATTTATCTAAAATCATTAATTTTTTCCAAGTGAAACTCCTTCGTGGAAAACACTGATTTTAAGAAAACCTTCTAGGCTCCAGAATGGACTAACTGGGGAGGAGGTGAAAGAAATAAAAAGGGAGGGAAGACAAATGCTCATGTCAGAGGCATGATAGTAAAGATACTTGTGGGGATTAGGTTCATGCTACTCGGCTGATCAAAATGTCAGTATCATATCCTCAGTGGGAACTTTGATGGCTGATGGACCATATAACAAAGGGACTTGCCTTTCATCTGTACATGGGCTGAAAGAAGGTTCCATTTTGTGGGAGAGGGGCTTTTATGGTTGGGTGGTTTTTTTTGGTTTGAGGAGTTGTGTTGTTCTGTTACACTGTTTTTATGATAAATGTTAACCTTGAATTGATCTTTTTAAAATTCAACTGCAGAAATTTTAGGTTAACATCTGTAGTGTTTGTAGTTAAAATTACATAGTCTTCCATAGAGGTTTTTGTAGTTCCCAAATAGATAATATGGTTTAAATTTCAACAATTAGAATTATAAGACAGAAATACCAGCTCAGAGGCTAACTTTCTGACTTCCTTTGTATAAATTGCTCGGGTTTTTTTCCAGAGAGGAATGAATATTGAATTTTCAAGTTTCTTTGCATTTCCAAGTGCAAGAAGGATTTCAGTGCCAGAGACAAAAATGTGCCATTCACACTGGGATGATTCTTAACCTCTTGAGTTCCTTAGGATGTGAAGTACATGTAGTCTAGGAATGGGCACTTGTCTGCCTTCAGAAATGAATGTTCATTGAGCATGCTGCTGTTCTCATTAGCACAAATATCATTCCTTTCAGGACTGTATAGCCTCCCAAAGTGAAAGGTCATGGAAAACACTGAAAATAAAAGACATTAACTTGCTGCATTAAAATAGATAACTCTAAAGAAGTTGAGACTTACAGGAAAACATATTCAATTATTTAAATGTTCACTGTGATGTTACACCAGAGCATGGCTGTGTCATGTCAGCTTATTCTAGCAAAACTGATGAGTTTAGGCATGCCTTTTTCTCATTAACTGAGCCCTTTGGCACCAAGGGGATTCAATTGGCATGGGAGACTAAGTTCCCTAGTGCTCTCCACCTATTTCATGGGCACTAGGGGAAAGAGCCAGGTGACTGTAAAATCTTGGTGTGTCCCTGAATGATGTGGTAAATGCCTGAAGCCCCTGCAGAGGAGCTGGGCTGAGGAGGATGCCAGTGGCTAGAAACCATGCCAGCTCCTAACCCAGCTGTCTCAGGCTTTAGCTCCAGTTGCGATCTTAGTCACTCTGCTGCTGTTTCTTAGTAGTTAATATTGAAAAGAAAGCAGAGATACAGAACTAGCAACTTTTGGGGAATATTCAGAGCCTGTCACTTGTTTGGAGACAGCCACGTGCAGCATGGTAGAAGGAAAACAAAACAAGTAAGCTTGAGTTAATTGTACTGTATAAATGTATAGGGTTTTTAGGTGTAAGCTAGACAGGATCTTCATCACAGAGATCAGGGTGCCAGGAACTCTTCTTTATAGGCTTAAATATTTACTGATCCTGCAGCACACAACTTTTGTTTAAGAATGTCAAATCCAGTTTTCCAAATAAATCTAACAAAATGTTACTGTTACTGATGCCTTGAGAGGCTACCTAGAATGGAGGCTAGACATTGCTAAAGGAATAAAGTAGGTATTTATTGAAAGACCTTCAAAGGATGCACCTTGGGCACTACAGGAGCCTGGCTGAGACTACACCCAAGCTGGACAGTGGGTCATGAGTTTTCACACTTGTATAAGTTTTGGTCCATTTACATATTGGGGTTCATTGTCCAGTTACAGCTTCAGGTCACTAAGTCTCATCCTCCTAGACTGCTCTCCTCAATTCGCTGTTGTTTATACCTTTTGAGCCTGAAGCTGCAACAGCGTTCTTGGTTCTTGGGCTGGAAAAAAATTGTTTTGTCTGACTAAACTGTGAGGAGAACTTGGTAGCACTTGATATGAAGTTCAGAATTATATACTAATGCAGGACAGAATCTGGATAATATGAAAGCTAAAACTTAAGGCATCATCATGGCAGAACTGCTCACACTGCTGGGCAGTATGTGTTTAGGAATGAATCCAAGGTTTTATCATAAGCCTTTTTGTCCCTGCTGTTCATGTATTTCCCTAGCAGTTGTCTTAAAACATGTGAAAATAGCAATACTTATCATGCTTGAAAACTCCTGTGAGTACAAATTCAATTGGCATTCATGTGGTGGTTGAATGTGTTTTCATGGTGTTACAGTTTGATTCAGCAAGGGCTGAGAGACTAAATGACATTTGAAGTATTGCCAAGATTGGCACTTCCAAATGATAGATTAGCATGTATGTACTCACCCTTGTGCACAGCTGATAGAGAACAGGTGGCCAGAGACTGAGTACTGCTCAGTTATGGAACTAACCTCCAGTGAGATATTGTACATGTTGATATGTGTCCTTTACAAATTAAACTGTCCCTGCTCTTAGCTCAGCTCTCTTTCACCACAAGTCAGCTGGTGTTTTACGGCTTTTTCATCACAGGCATGCAAATAATAAATATTGTTAGAAGTGACACTACAGGACAGATAGCAACAGAAAAAGTGGCAGGGATATACCTCAGCTCTTACAAGCAAATTACATGTTAGGGTTTGATGAACACTGCCCCTTTGCTAGGCCAGCTTCAGGCAACTGGAGCTATGGATGGATGGATCTTCTCTCCAAGCACCGTGTCTGAGGCCCAGCTGAGCACGACTTCTGCATTACCATTACCTCATGGTCTCTAGGAGTGCTTTTCGATGTTCAGAAAGGAAAGGTTGGGACCAGTTATTCTCTCCTGAAAATCTCCTTGTTCTTTTGTCCATTCTGTTGATAAACTGACAACAAAGGTGATCTTCTTTATCTTCTTCTTTCAGATGCAGTATTCACAAATGGACAGGGAGTTGACTATTTATTTGTTGGAAACATAGTTTACACTGTAAGTTTGTGTATCTTAGCAATCTTTGAATGGTAGAATTTCTTTCCAGCCTTTTTTTCACCACAAGAAAATGGTCTAAACCTGAAGAAAATATGTGAATTTTTTTTAAAAAAAATCAACCTGATGCTAAGTGCATGATTCTCCCTCTTCCTTTTAATGTTTTTCCCAGACACACACCAACAATAGTTTCTGCTCTGTCCTTTCTGCATCCCCGACCAAGTTCCTGGGTTGCTGCCTAAATGGTAGTAGCTTTTTATGTGTAAAGGGGAGATTGGGATTTGAGGGTGTTAGTAATGAAGTTGTCTTCTTCTTTTTCCTTGCAGTATGTTGTAGTCACTGTTTGTCTGAAAGCTGGCTTGGAAACAACTGCATGGACTAGAGTAAGTACTTTCCAGTGTCTTTTATTTTATTATCACACCTTCTTCCCTAATGAGTATTGATACAGATAAGAAGTACTAAAAATCATTTGGGACTTCAGAGTTCTAATTAAGTCTTTCATGTAAGGATAGGCTGCTAAGCTCCCTAAGTACAGAATGTGAGAGGAATGAACTCGTAGATCACACGATATCTGTGATGAAAAAGGGCAGCTTGACAGAAGTGGGAAGAGCACACTAAAAGCATATTGTCAACATCTCTACTTAAAAATGAGCAAAATTTTGCATGAAATCAACATACTACTGAAATTGCTTAAGAAAATGCATCAAGAAAATTATCCTTTGTAGTCTGTAGCTCCTTCAAAATTAAAGCGATAGGGAATGAAAAGTGTCTGCCCACAGATAAACAACTAGGCTTGAAAACGTCTTTGATACAGGTAAAAAGAACTAGTGGTGACTCCACATTGGTTGAATTGTTTTGGTTTTTTGGTTTTTTTTTTTAAATTTAGTGTAATAAAGATGTCAGTTGAATAGTTTTGTTGTTTCCTTGATTTGAGTTATTGGCTTGAAATGGGCAAGTGCTCTGTTACAGATAGGTGACAGAATCCAGCAGGGCAGTGAGCTCCAAAGTGTGTGAGGGACAGGGAGGGAAGGGCTCCTGTGTTGATGAACTTTCAACACCTTTCTCCCTTCCTTTCCCCTAGCCCTTCTGAAACACTAATTTTTTAAATTTTGATGGAGTCTCTTTTTCTCCACACCAGTAAGATACTTTATGAGAATCCAGTTTTCATGACATACAAAGAAACTCTGCCCTCAAGGCTAAGATGTTTTGAGGACACATATTCTTATTCTACCAGTTTCTTCAAGGGTTTGGCTTAGGTCTTGTTAACCTCCTTGCTTGTGTTAGTTGTAAAATGTTTTATTTCATTCCTCCCAGAGGAATTGTGAAGATCAGTGAGCTGACATCTGTTCTGAATATTAAAGATGAAATGCTGTCTGTATGGGTTATTTAATTGTTAGGGAGATGTTAAAATTTTCTGCCCCATTCTCTCATCTGAAAATGAAATCTGAGTGTTTTTTTGCTGTTGCTTATGCATCAGTTCTGTGTTGTGTATCAACATTTTAAAATGCAAAAATCCTTAAATTAATCCCTTGTGCACCAGAAAAGTGTATAACCAAGTCAGCATTGAATGCATGTGAGCTTGTTTAGATCCTGTTTTGTTGTGAATTTTTTGATGGTTTCAGTTCTCTCCTCTTCCCTGGATAGGTAATGGGTGTCTTTTCAGCCACTTGAGGATAATCATGGACCCCTTATTTCTAAACTTCTTTTTTAAAAGATACCATATTCGAGCTTTATAACTCTGGCATTTTACAGATAAATTATTGTTATTCACACAACAGTTGTGTTTAGAATCCATTTTTTCTATATATACTTCTAAATCCTGCCCTATTGCTTGGAACAGTGACTCTCATCATCTCAAAATCTGATGTTGGTTATAGTTTCAGCTATGAGTGAATCAACACACAGAGAATCTTCTGGTTACTTGAAGAGTATTAAATTTACAACACTGAGTTAAGCCTCTTCTCCATCATCAAGCGGATTGGTTACAGGCAATTTGTTCTAGAGAGTGAGAGGGACACTGCCACTTGGGAGAACAAGGCGGTTTCAACAGAAAACTATAAATAAAAAAAGGCAGTCAAAGTTTTGGGGACCATGGTATATCCAGTAGTTAGTGTGGAAAGAAAGTCTCTGATAAAAGTGGCAACATAATGGATAATAAAATCCAAACATTGAAGTTGAGTGGAGTAGCTTCATGTTACGTTAGGACCTATGTGGAACACTGCAGTAGGCTTTTTCCCAAATACAAAGAGCTTTTATCATCACTGCTTTACCCCGCTGTAGCAACTGTTTCTGATAAGCAGGATACATGGGAGAGCTACACACTCTATCTAGCTTTTATGCAAAAATCTTCTTGCAGCAGCCTTGCAGTACTTGCTATCTGGGGAGCTGAGCATTACGGTGGCTCACCAGGGCAGGGCTTCTAGTCAGAATCTTGACGTGAATTGTGCTCAGTTTTCAGAAGAGCAAGTAGACTGAAAGGGTAAAATCCCTCTTGTCCTCCAAGTGTTTTTAAAAAAAATCCTTCAATTTCCTTCTTTTCTTCATTGAGCACATATGTGGGTATTTTGGAGGGTTTTTATGGTTATGTGGGGGTTTGGGGCTGGGGTTTTTTGGTTAGTTTGTTTCTTGTTTGTTTGTTTTACATAAGGAGTTGTTTATTTACTGAGGTCAGATCTTCTGGGTCAAACAGAGTAAATAGCAAAGTTTGAAAACAAATCTTCTTGCCCTCTGTGTCTCTTCAGGAAGGGGCCTATCCCACGTCTTGCTTATTATTAGCCCAGCAACTTTCAGGGTTACACAAAATTCCAGCTTTCTGAGAGTGCCTAGAAGAGTGTTCTTTCCATTGCCTCTGACATTTTGTATGAATGCTTCTACTGTAAGGTAGTGTCTAGTTGATCCCAACTATCTGCCAGTCTGCACTGATGCTGCAGGCTCTTTGCTTGTTTGTTTTCACTGCCTGTGCTGGAGAAAGCTGTCCTTTCTGAGCATGTCCAGCAGTTGCAGATTAGGAGCAGTCTTCTTCCAGAAGTTTTTATTTATCTCACAGCAAGCAGAACACAATATCAGACACTTCTTTAGTTCTCAGACATACTGTTCAGAAAGTCAACAGACACAGTCATCCAGTAGGAAATATAAAGCTGAGAGCTGAACAAACACGCTGTGTCCACCAGCATCCAGTATGTGAATTCATTCCCGTGTTCCTGAACTCATATGTAATTAGTAATTAAGATTTATGCAGGTACTTCTCTGAATTGGAGCCAAAGTCATCAGCCGCAGGAGTTGTTGGCATCCAGAAAAGTTGGAGCCAATAATGAGCTCAGTTGCTTGTTACAACTGAAATTACTGGTTCCATTCACTGTGGTGTAAAAGTAAAACAACTTAAATCATCTGAGCAGAAAAGCAGTTTGGGTGTGTAGGAAAAATTACTTTAATGCCACTGAGAAGAAGTTTTTGCTGGATGTGCTCTTGGTCATTTAATAGTTTTTATTTTCTCTTAGTGAGTCTAGAGACTAAAGAACCAGTAAAGATGTAAGCTGCATTGCATGTGTGTAAATCAGTTAGAACACCTTTAAAACAAAAAAAAAAAGGCAAAGTTGACCAGTAGATGTTGATTGTGGTAGTACACAACACTGAATCTTCCTCCAGAGAAGGTAAGTGATGTGTATGGCTTGTATGTGTACACGGCCATAGGGGATTTGTCCATGTGAACTTTAACCTGCGCCTTTGAAAATTCCTACCTTGATTTACATGTTGAATCTGGAATGTGCGTGACAGGATACAGGAACTAGATGAGAGAAATTATGGTTCCAAGGAAAATCTGACGAGTTTTTGGAGATCCAAATAAGACAGATTGGCTGAGAAGAGTATCTGTCTGCCCTGCTATGAAGCAAAGATTAAAGAGAAGTGGTTTGTGCTGTTTGAACAACCTGTGCTACTGGCCCAAAACCAAGAGCAGTAGATAGGCCTGAGTGAGACCGACAGAGACCTGAACAGAGAAACACTTCTGGGCTGGGTGGATGGAGGAAGTGCCGTGTGTTGACTCCGTTTCTCTCCCTGTTCTTGGCAGTTCAGTCACCTGGCTGTCTGGGGAAGCATGGTGCTCTGGCTCGTGTTCTTCGGCGTGTACTCAGCCATCTGGCCTACGTTCCCCATCGCGCCCGACATGCTGGGGCAGGTCAGTACCAACACCTGGCTCTGGGGATACAGCCCAGCACAGCTCCCTGCTGTCAGCCTCAGAGCTCACATGATGCTAGCAAAGCACTGCTGCTCTCGTCAGAGTGCTTGGGCTTCATTTTAACCTTTTCTTAATCCCTGTATTCATTTAGCTTAATCTCCTCATGAGAAGAGCTCTCTTTGTCCCCCAAACTGACATCATCCATGATAACGTGCACTGTGGGTACTGCATGACAATTCCCAATTCACTGTGATGGCAGTAGTCCTGGCTCTTTTGTTAGTGTCTAGTCCTGGCAAGATTTTGTGTGTTTGACAAAACGTTGTAATTGATTTGGGATTTCATTTTGTCACGGGTTTGTTCTTTTCCATATGTTTCGTTTCATATTGTTGCTTTTTGCCTTCATCCATTCTAAACAAACAGAATTTCCTTGAGAATAGAATGAGATGGTCAGAAGCAGGAGAGCTGATACATTGCTGATTATGGTACTGGAGGAATTCTGGATTTGTTCCTTCCATGTCAGCTGAGCTCCAGGTAGTAAAATTTTCCCTTCAGTGTCATTATTTCAACCCCTAGTGAGAAGATCGAATAGCAGGCCTGTCAAAATCACTCAAGAGATTAATGCATAATTAAAATAAGGGGATCGCAATTAACAATTGTAACAATTAAGGATTTTGTAATTTTACGATAAAAAGTCCTTTTGTAGAGGTTGGAATGGCTTTCAGCTTTACCTGAAAAATGTATTGGGTTATAGGTTTAGACTTCCATGCAAAGATGGGATACAGAAAGAGGAAAAGCTATCTATCTAATAATTTCAAGAAATTATATTCTTAGATTGATACTCTTATGTACTAGAAAATTATAATAGAAATCTCAAGTGTTGGCAAGCCAATTAGATTTTTCAGATTACTCCCACGTTTGTATTCATCAAGAGCAGTCAGGCATGGTTTTGTTGCTATTCTGGCTTAATACATATTTTATTATTATGCTCTAAAACACTGAAGATAATGGAGGCTATGATAGATTTTCATGAACAGCTTTTTAAGGCTGAGACTGACAGCTGACAGGCTGGTGAGTGACTGAGCAGGTGAGTGACTGACAGACAAAGCCTCAGTCCTCTGGTAGTATTTCATGATGATCTTGGCATGTTTCACAGCGCACACAGCATCAGTAGCTCTAACTCACATTTTCATATATCAGGCAATAATTTGACTTTAGTATCATACAGACTCGAGAACAGCTTGTCCTCCACAGCAGACTTTAGTGCTGCCATTAACATGTCAGCCCTCTAATATATAGACAATATGGCAAAATGTTGCTTCACACACGAGGGGCCAAGCTATGAGGTTTAGCTTGCTGTTGCCTTTCTTTTTTTCCCAAAAGTGACTCTTATTTTTTATTGGAACTTAAGCAAAATTCATGTTGTGCTGGTCATCAGCGTTTGCTGCAGCATATAAAACCACAGGTCTTGGAACAAAACCTTCACATTAATAAGGCTTTGGTTTTTCTTGACTATGTTTTTAGAAAATGGTTGTATTTAACCTTTGGTTTTATGCTCTGATTTTCTGACATTACGACTTGAGAAGTGGTACTAATATCTTGCCAAAATGAAAATAATCTGTTCTCCTTTTTTTTTTTTAATGGAGAATATGTTTACCTTGGCTGGTAGGGTGTCCCAGTCCGGTACTTGTGGAGCTGTGTACGTGAATCAGTAATTATCAATCTAAAATATTAAGGATAGGTGATCATTCTATAGAGATGATTTTTGAATACAGGCTGTCTTATGGCTTTCAGTGTGTGCTAGAGGGGATCAATATCATTCTACCAGTTTTCTTGTAGTTTTGAGAGAAGGAGCAGCTGTTGAAAAATGTGGTTTTTTTTTTTCTTTTTTTTTTTTTGTTTCACTTTTATCCTTTTGTAAAATCAAGGAAAGCTCCCAAGGTAAAGGGAGCTTGTTTACCACTCGCATTAACTCCCACAGAGTCTCTTGAGTAATCAGTTGCTGTCATGAAACCAGCTCATGGTGAAATGAGCTGGGACTGTGTTAGGCTCTAGTCAGTAAAATGAGTTGCCCTGCTGCCTAGACTTTAACAATTTCTTTACTCTTGCTGGATTCTTTTGTTCATTTATAAATAATAATATGTCTTAAAAGCATTGTTCTTGTTTCAGATCTTGCTCGTGTGCTTATCTTCAAATTAACTGAACTCCAGGATATTTTAGATTCTCATACTATGCAAATCTAACAGCATTTGAAGGAAGCTGATTTTAGCTGGAATAGTCATTAGCATTTGTGCTTGCCAGGACTTTGAGCCATTAGTAGAAGGCACAGGAGGTGCAAAACATTTTATTGTGTTGTTTCACCAAATGTCAGCATGAAACTTGGCACACTTCAAGTATGTGATGCTTTGATTCTGATGGGGTTTGTTAAACTGTTTGCACTAAGTATTTCTTTCTCTTGCCCATAATATCTTGAGCATTTTCACAGGGATATAATACCATTTTTCCTCCTTGAGGGCAAAGGAAAGCGACTTAGTTATTCTCTCTTGTCAGAGTCAATATATTTCTTCTATTTTCACTAAAATATTAAGAATGGAGTACTTGTGACATATTAAGACAAAGCCATGATTAAAATCTCAGTAGTCCTTAATTGAAATCTTTCAATAGTATGCATCTGGTACTTTGGGAAAAAACTCTTTGTGCTTTGGGAGAACCTTTTCAGATGCACAATTTCTCTTTAATAGTATCAGAAATAATAATGTAAGCAAACTCTCTGGTAGCTCTCTTAGCTTTCCTGAATTTCTGTATATTTTCAAGTGAACTTTTTTAATATATTTACAAGAACAGTGACACTGAGAAGAGTTGGTGCCTTTTTTTTGTCTTGCCAAAGACAAAAAATTTCAAAAGTCAAGATGCTTTGATGAGAACTGATTGCTTTTGAATGATCACTTCCAGATAACAGTATTTTTTACAATGTATGAGTCCTTTCCTGCCTTTTGGGTAGTTATGACTTACCACCACAGATTTTTGAAAGCAAGTAGATGTTTGTGTTTTTAAAAAGAGCTATCTAGTTTGGTACTCATTATCTGGAAGAAGTGGTACAAAAATGTGCCACTTACAGGGCTTGTAGCTCATAACCCAGTGGTATTTTGTTGATGAGCACCTTAGCCACCATCCTGCCCTCATGCAGTCTTGGATATTTTGTTTGCCTGGGGATGGAGATTTAATGCCCTGAAGGGAACAGTGAATGCTAGCATTTGTGCTTATTTGCTATATGAGTCATACATATGATGCAAGAAATATGCTGCTAGTGCTCTGTTCTGTATTGATTTCTTCATTGGAATTGAAGCATACTTTAGGTTCGTGGGAATAATAGTGCACTGTATGGAATTAAAGTCTGTGTGCAGGTATTCCCACCCCCCACATGTCTAAATACCTGTCCCTGAAAGCATGCATATGTGTACAATAGGATGCTTTGAAAGTGCTCATGCTTTGAGTCTTGATCTAGACTGTATCTAAGATAAATAAAAACAGGTATCTTCTTTCCCCACCTTGAGCAGAAGTTTTTTGTTTTAAGGGAGAGTAGGGTTGGCAGGAAAAGGAGTATTCCTATCACCCTTCCGAAGCATCTGCTTGTTGATGATGAAAGAACTACGTAGCTGTGATTTCTTTCTTCCAGTTTATTTGCCTTAACATGTGTTGTATTTTGTGTCTGCTTCATTTGTTGTTGTTACCATTAAGGAAATACCTTTAGGAAGATGAGTATCAGTCTCATGGGTTCTGCCTGAAGGAAAGGGTTTTAATCTGCTTTTGAGACAGACACGTGCTGTGGTTATTTTAAAGTGCAGGTTGGTGTTTCTAATTTTTTAGACTTCTGCTTTATGCTGTATGTGGTCATGTTGCAAAACTGGGGTTTAACAATCATCTTGATCTTAGGATGTCATTAGGAAGCCCATCTCATCAAAACCTCATGTCTGGATGTTTTAAAATTGGGGCTGCTGTACTTCCCAGTTACCTTTGTACAGCTGCGTTTGAAAGACTTCTTGAATCACAGTCCAAATACTTTTACCACAAGCATAGCTGAAACAGCTCCATGTAAGAGCCACTTTCATAGCTGTAATTGCAGGTGTGCTTTTATTTTTCAGTGCTCTGCACATCCTTGACAGAAGATAGTTATTTCTTGTCCAGTTGAACTATCAGATTCTTGCTAGGTTATCTTCTTATGAAGACTTTCAAAGATGGAGTTTACCTGGATTAAAGATGTTTTTTAAAAGATCCCAGTAGTGGAGATCTCTGGTTGATGCCATGTGATGTGACAGTAGCAGGACTTGCTTGTTCTAACGGCTTGTTAAGAAGACATCTGTGCCTTTTTTTAGCAAAGCTTCCCATTCATCTGTGCGTATGGCATTAACAAGATGGGCTTGCCTTGATTATTGCACTGTTGTTGGCTTTTGAGGGAGGGAGGTGATGTAGACAAAGGGTGTGATGGACTCAGGTTGGATGTTTGGTTTTGTAGTTGGCCTTCGATCTGAAGCACTCTGAGATCTTGCTGATTGAGCTCTTACCAAAGCATGTGAGAAAACTTCATGGTTTTTGAGACTTGAAAACAACATGAAACACCCCCCAAAAATCCTGGAGGCAAGATAATAATCATTATTGTGGTGTAATAAACAGGTTTCACATTACTGCCCTTCCAAATCCACACTGCAAAGCTGACAGCTTAATGTACATTTTTGTGTTGTCCAGAATACTTTTGTCTTACTCTCTACATTTGAATTGTTTTCCAGAGGTCTCTGTTGTTGTTCTCTCTGGCTTCTCATATTTCCACAGTTTGGTGCTAGTTAGAAAATTGGCTGTTCTGATTGTGGTTTGTTTGTCTGCAATCAGTTGCACATTACATTGTGGTGTCAGGGCTTTGGTTGGTGAAAAAGCTTCATCCAGCTGTTATACGCAAATCAGACTTCGCCTGCAGATTGAGGTCCTTAATGCCTGCTGATCATGTTTGT